GAAAACTGACCTGGTTTCACAGATTTCCACAAGGATCAGCCAAGCCCCACAAGCTCCAGGAGTGGGTCACGGTGTGCCACTCGCACCAGGGCTTTGGGACAAGATCCATGTGAGCCTCGTGTCGCTCCGTGCCCTCCCACTGCCAGCAGAAGCGGCATTTTCCACCTCCCCAGAGGATGACTGTGGTCAGAGAAAGGCCTTTGACTGGTGCGAGGAAAAGGAGGGCCCCAAAACTCAAAACGTGTGTGATCCACGTGTAAACGAGCTCAAGTAAGCTTAACTCGGGACTTACTTTGTTTGAAAGCCTCTAGACATAACACAAAAATAGCAGATTATAACTCCCTAGCAAGGGGTCACTGCCAAATGGATGAGCTGCATCACGCGCTGGCAAGAAGCAAATGTATCCGAGATGGAGCAATAATCCTTCTGTTAAAAATGACTACAAACAAAACTGCAAATGCTGCTGTAATGGTGGAGCTTGAACTGTGACAGAGTGCAGCTTTTACCGCTCACAAAAATGGCTTTTTTGCCAAAATTGAGAAGCAGAAAGCTTTATCGTTAAAAAGCAAACACCACCAACAAAAAAAATAGAAGTCAGGGGATCTACAGTTTAAATCCACTTTATTTTTAGACCATGCTAAAATTATTATTGAGCTAAATGACCATCTCTGAAAAGACCCAGTCTGGAAAAACAGGGCAGTAACTTAAAGTGCATGGACAGTTTTTTCCAATTCAGTGAAACTATTGGACAGTTTCAAGATCAGCAATGGATTAAGTTTAACTTTATTGGGTCAGAGCCAAAATGCGTCCCATTTGTGTAAGAAAAAAACAAATCCCATTTCACTACGACTAAAGAAGCAGGCTGTAACTTTAAGCAGTTTCCTTTTTCAAATGCAGTCAGTAAATTGTGAAAATAGATCCCTCCCAGGCTGAGTCACAAACTTGCACGGAGATAAAACAAAATTCAGGTACTGACAGTTACTGTAATACCCCCATAATCTAGAGCAACACTATTCCCTAGAGTACAGCAGGAAATGTTTTTTTCAGCACAGCATGAATGACAGCCCAGTTCTTTTTTTCCTCCATTCCCTCCAAGGGACTGATGCAAGAAGATGAAAACAGTGTTCGCATGGGAAATTTTCCCACGTCCTTCTGAACTGCTTCTGAACCTCTCTGCTTTTCAGCCCTGCAATGCTCTTCTTGCAGGCTGCTTGGACCTAAAAGTGATGTGTAACTCCAAGGTATTTATCATCCCTGCTCCACCTGTTCTTTAACCAAAGAGCTTAACGTCAGCAGCAACATGAGGTCAGTGAGTCGCAGGCCTAGGTGCCACCTAGGTGCCCCTGTAGCATTTAACTGGGTTGCTGGCAGCCTCGATGCAGCGCAGGGTGATGGGCTGGGGAAGGAGGTGGCTGCTCTTCGTTACTGGAGCATGAAGACGAAGAGCTGGCCGGGCCACCCACGCGAAGGACCGTGAGGTGCCACCTCCAATGGCATCGTGGGATGCAGCCTTCTGCTCTAATACGCTGGTAGGTCTTGTGTGAGGCAAACTCCCTCCTGTGATTAAGGAAAAGTTACAGTAGTGATACACTCTGGTTCTTACAGTCCTGGAGGATTAAGAAATGTGCACTAGGTGTAGAACAGGTCTTAGCAAATTGTGACCATCACAGAATTTTACTAATTACTCCTTCATTATAGAGAGGATTCATATGCGAGGGCCAAAGCAGTCAAACATATGCTTTGGGCTTTATCTCCTGCACAAGCCCCTAGGCTTTCCTCGGGGAATTACCATGCAGTTCATTGGTATCTTGGTGTTAAATATTAAAACCTCAAGACTCCAACCAAAATAAACTGCTTGTTTGTTTTCTTTCTTATAAATGTGCTTATTGTTGCCTCATTAACCATTTAGCACCCTGGTGGGTTATCACAATGAGCTGAGCTTGGCAGAATCTCGGCATTATAGTCCCTGAAGGAAAATGTCCTGGCTTTCCTTATCTGATGCTTTTTGGTTAACAGAGATTTAGAAGAAGCAATAACAGACCTTTAATGAGATATGTTTGGCAAGAAGGTACAAAAAAAAAACCCTGTTAAGCAGGCTTACATCTGTTTCCTTTTTCTTTCATTTTGCCTTGTCTAGATGTGTACTTAACACTAATCTGCTATCAAACTAACTTGGATTGTTTTGTTTCTGAGTTTAGCCTCCCCATCACAGTCATTTAATTTTACTTCTCTGGTAAATGATGAGCACACACATTCACCTGCAATTACTGAGTTTGGCAGCACCTCTCTTAAATCTCACTGTCAGAGGAAGCTTCAAGGAAGGACCAAATTAACTCCATTCAGTCCTAGATTGCCAGTCCATTCATATATTTAGAGTTTGATAATTATATGTAAAACAGTACAAGATGTTGGAGGATCTGGTGCAAATTTGTGCAGTGCTGTATGCACTTCAAAAACTATCTTTCTAGTATGCACATTTCCCCCAAATTACCTTATATATAACAACAGATGCCACGCAGCAGGTTCAGCAAAAAGGAGGAAAGAAGTAATTTTCTTCATCAAATGGAAACTAGTATTTGTTTGCTTTTTTCTGCTGATACAAGTCATAAAGAGAGGGGGAATATTTTATCTTTCCAGGGAAATATGAGAATCCACTTCCGCAAACCATTCCTCAGCGTTCAGGCGCAGGGCGCTGTCTCTGGGGGGTGGGTTAGGGTAGCACCGACATTTTTGCCCCTCAGCAGTGGCATCTGCCGCCCACCCTTGGCCAACGCAACGTGTTCTGGCCTAGAGCTGGAGCAGTGTGTGTCACCTATAGAAAGGAAAGGACGTGAGAATAAGATTATTAAGTGCTTCACAAAAACACTGGGCTGACCCGAGCAAGGCCCCTGCTCTCAGCGCTGTGGGTGTTTGCATCTCTGTGGCACAGAGCCCACTGGCTCTATTAGAACTGGAAAACGCAACCAGCTAAGGACAAGGGTGACATTCTGCAATGCCAATAAGAGTCACCCATCCCAAAAACATGGGGCAATGCATATAATGCTCAAATGCAGACTTCAGGTGAAAGCATGTGAACTGGTTTTCAGATTTGCATCTCTTTTGCTGAGGCCAAGGACGTTCTCAGACTAAAGGTGGTTTTATTTTGTATAATGTGAGAAAACTGAGTTTGAGCAATGTTGAGAGGAAATAATCGGTAACTTGCCCATTACAAATAGAATAGATCTTTTTATGTTTGTACTTTTTAGAAATGAAATTCAGGCTGATCACAATAGGTTTATTCCAGCTAAAAAATATGATTCAAAGTGTGCTGGCGATCACTGTCATTTGAGTGATGGCTGGAAGCGTTCACACGCTTTACCAAAGCTTTAATAAAGCACTGCCGAGCTGTGCCAGGCTACGTGACAACAGGTTTTAGTCGTCAGGATTAGCGTGGCCGGGCGGCCGGGGCGCGGGCTGTGCCCTGCACTGCGCGGAGCGCGGGCCGGCCGCTCACCGGGGACATCGCGGCCGCTCACCGGGGACATCGCGGCCGCTGCGGCCTCGGCAGGAGAGAGAAATACACCTATGGCAGTGAGTGAGCACAGTGGGAGCTAATTTGCTTTTTGCCCCAATTATTTGACAACTGTATTGTAGATAAAGCGGCTTTGATTTTACTAGTTCTTATTTTCTTCTCCGAGTTTCCTCTTTTATTTTGCTCTCTCTCATGCTTTGTCTTCTTATCCATATCTTAATGTTTTTCAGACTCCTTGTCCCTGAGGTTTGCACACCCACTTCACTGCAGTTCTTCCCAAGGTAGCTATGCAGATTTACAACCCCTTTCATTTCCCATGACACCACTCACGTTTACAGGGCAAAAATCAGCCCTTAGTTGCCAGGTTATGCAGCCATCCTCCCCAGCGCTCCCCAAGGACTCTAGACTGCCATTCCCTTGAGCACTAACTAGATTAGGATTTATTAAACCCTCCCTCCCCCTGTTTGAATGATAGGTAGCCTCAGGCAGCAGGAACGAAGGCAAAGGCATACTGTTTTTTTGTAAAGGCACAGTGAACCACAATGCAGGGCACATTGCCCCAGGCGCTCCTAAACTATCCTGTCCTGTGTCAGCAAGATGCCTTAAGACTCTATAGAGCTCTCGCTGCTCCATTTTCCCTCTGCTCCCACCCTGTGCATCTCAATACAGTTACAGGATTTTGTCCTTAATTGAAATTCCTTTCATCAGCCCAGATACAGCCTGAACAAAGATACTGACATGAAAAAGCAGTCAAGAACATATCTTTAAAATGTCAGTTTGCCGGTGACAAGCACAAAATGCAGTCGCTGCAAATCAAGACTCTAAACCCTCATTGTATATCACATAGCTGCCTCTTCCCCCCACCATCCCTCCCCTACGTTTTGGTGTTTGTGTATCTTTGTTTTCCCTTCCACATTCTTCTCATGCTGCGTTCCCAGCAAATGGGAGGATGGCTGGGACTTGATTAAACTCCTGCAAACCTCAGCGAAAGCTCTTTTAAACCCTAAACAGTGTCATTTATCTTGACTCCTACCTCTGAAAGAAATCGCTCATTCAAACTCTGTGGTCTTCTCTTCCATTTTCCCCCTTCAATTCACTCTGGTGAATCATTAGTGAATTCACTTCTGCCCATATAGACTGACAAGTCTAATGTTACGTGGCAGGAAATGGCTATGATCTTACTCGGAGTAAGAAATAAAAAATGAAAGTTCTTTCCACTGGCACAATGTAGGGAAGGATATACCCAACAGAAGGAAAGAAAAAGAGAAATTAAAAAAAACACTAGTATGGGCCGTGCACTGAATGCTGTATTTAGCTCATTTACCACGGGTGCCTGATTTAGTGGCACACCTCAAAGTCCTGGCTCTGCAGAGACCCTGTAGGGAAGGATATACCCAACAGAAGGAAAGAAAAAGAGAAATTAAAAAAAACACTAGTATGGGCCGTGCACTGAATGCTGTATTTAGCTCATTTACCACGGGTGCCTGATTTAGTGGCACACCTCAAAGTCCTGGCTCTGCAGAGACTGTGGCCGGTGACCTGGCAGCTGCGGCACTGGGAAACAGCCCCCGCGTGGAGGCCGCGCGGGGCGGCTGCTGTGTCGGGTCCTGGTGTCTGCTCCATCCTGGCTCCTGGTGTCTGCTCCATCCTGGCTCCTGGTGTCTGCTCCATCCTGGCTCCTGGTGTCTGCTCCATCCTGGCTCCTGGTGTCTGCTCCATCCTGGCTCCTGGTGTCTGCTCCATCCTGGCTCCTGGTGTCTGCTCCATCCTGGCTCCTGGTGTCTGCTCCATCCTGGCTCCTGGTGTCTGCTCCATCCTGGCTCCTGGTGTCTGCTCCATCCTGGCTCCTGGTGTCTGCTCCATCCTGGCTCCTGGTGTCTGCTCCATCCTGGCTCCTGGTGTCTGCTCCATCCTGGCTCCTGGTGTCTGCTCCATCCTGGCTCCTGGTGTCTGCTCCATCCTGGCTCCTGGTGTCTGCTCCATCCTGGCTCCTGGTGTCTGCTCCATCCTGGCTCCTGGTGTCTGCTCCATCCTGGCTCCTGGTGTCTGCTCCATCCTGGCTCCTGGTGTCTGCTCCATCCTGGCTCCTGGTGTCTGCTCCATCCTGGCTCCTGGTGTCTGCTCCATCCTGGCTCCTGGTGTCTGCTCCATCCTGGCTCCTGGTGTCTGCTCCATCCTGGCTCCTGGTGTCTGCTCCATCCTGGCTCCTGGTGTCTGCTCCATCCTGGCTCCTGGTGTCTGCTCCATCCTGGCTCCTGGTGTCTGCTCCATCCTGGCTCCTGGTGTCTGCTCCATCCTGGCTCCTGGTGTCTGCTCCATCCTGGCTCCTGGTGTCTGCTCCATCCTGGCTCCTGGTGTCTGCTCCATCCTGGCTCCTGGTGTCTGCTCCATCCTGGCTCCTGGTGTCTGCTCCATCCTGGCTCCTGGTGTCTGCTCCGTCCTGGCTCCTGGTGTCTGCTCCGTCCTGGCTCCTGGTGTCTGCTCCGTCCTGGCTCCTGGTGTCTGCTCCGTCCTGGCTCCTGGTGTCTGCTCCGTCCTGGCTCCCGGTGTCTGCTCCATCCTGGTTCCTGGTGTCTGCTCCGTCCTGGCTCCTGGTGTCTGCTCCATCCCCTCCTGGACCTCGGGCCTCCTCTGCCGCCGCTGTGCTGGGGGCAGCAGCAGGGAATCCTACACACCGCGCCAGGACACCTGCATTTCCAAAGAGCTGTTCACTTCCAGTAACTTAAGGCAAAATTATTCAAGCTTTTTTTATTATTCCTTATTAAGGCGCAGAGTTTTAGCTGTGAATCTTAAGAAGATTGGGAGCTTAAATTTAGTTACAAAAATAAAGAAAAGGAGGTGGGAGAATAAACGGAAACAATCAGACGCTGCTGGTTCAGGCTCATAATGCAGCTATCACCTTCAGCTCCCTGAGCTGCAGGGAAGCTTTTTCTTGGAGGGCACCTCTCCAGTCCATCTCTGCTGCCACCATCACCTTGCTCTTGTCACAGCAATGTCACAGCATTTGCCATCCCCTTCTCCTGCCTTCTCATGCTGCAGCTACGAAGATTTTTTTTCTACTCACTTTGACCACATC